AGAACTGAACTAGAACTGAACTAGAACTGAACTAGAACTGAACTAGAACTGAACTAGAACTGAACTAGAACTGAACTAGAACTGAACTAGAACTGAACTAGAACTGAACTAGAACTGAACTAGAACTGAACTAGAACTGAACTAGAACTGAACTAGAACTGAACTAGAACTGAACTAGAACTGAACTAGAACTGAACTAGAACTGAACTAGAACTGAACTAGAACTGAACTAGAACTGAACTAGAACTGAACTAGAACTGAACTAGAACTGAACTAGAACTGAACTAGAACTGAACTAGAAACTGAACTAGAACTGAACTAGAACTGAACTAGAACTGAACTAGAACTGAACTAGAACTGAACTAGAACTGAACTAGAACTGAACTAGAACTGAACTAGAACTAGAACTAGAACTGAACTAGAACTAGAACTAGAACTGAACTAAAACTGAACTAGAACTGAACTAGAACTGAACTAGAACTGAACTAGAACTGAACTAGAACTGAACTAGAACTTAACTAGAACTGAACTAGAACTGAACTAGCACTGAACTAGAAAAGAAATAGAACTCAGTTTAAACTAGACTTTAGGCTAGAGTTTACACTAGACATTAGACTAGACTATGCTTAAGACTAGACATTAGACTAGACTATGCTATAGACTGGACTGTAGACTACTCTATAGGCTATGTATAACAAATGAAAGGTATTTTAAAAAGCTTTCCCACAGTTAAAAAAATGTATATTGTTACTTATTTCTATAAATTCCCCCTAAATTAATACATTTTCAATGAAAATTAATTGTTAAAAAAATTAAACAATGAACTAACCTTAGTATTTTGTTTAACATATTATTATAAATATTTTTAAAACAATTCACTAGCGAGTTAATGTTAGTAAAATAGTAAATAATTAAATAAAGCAATTTATTTTAAAGCACAATACACTTAATAAACTCGATTAATTAAAAACTATATAAATATGTATGTAAATAATAAAAATATAGATTTGTATCATAACTACATACGCGTACATATTTTAATAAACAAAATTATTTAAAACAATGATGAAAGATTAACACTATATAACTAAAAAATGTTTGAGAACACAAGTTAAAGAGCCAAACTTGATCTAGATTATAGAGTAGCAGTTTTGTAACTTTAACAAATGTTCAAAATTTTTGTTAGTTAGGTGATGACAACTGTTCATCATTGGTAAGTTTAATGAATTATTTTTTTTTTTTTTTTGGTAGAACAATTATTAAAAGAACACAATGATTAAAATAAAACAGAAACACACACAAAATATACAATTTATTATAATGAAATAGGGAGATGATAGAGTAGAGAGTATGAAGAAATGTTTTATTTTTGGCTTTTTTGTTTTTGGTACGAAATAATTATATTATGAAACCCACAAGCATTTTATTAAAATTAAATAAATATATAGTTTTTTATGTGTATATTAATTTTCTGTATAGGGAATGTATGAAAACAACAGTAGAATTTCAATTATTAGAAAGAAAAAAACAACAAAATTATTTTAAACTTTTAAAGCTTGAAAATCTGTTTTAAATTTTTAAAATTTATTAATTTATTTGATAAAAATTATGTTTAATTAAATATTCCTTAAAGCGTATAATTGAAATTCTACTGTATTTCCAAATAATGTCAAAAAAACACATACAACATGTTAATTCTTTTGTTTATCCTCAATATTATTTCATTATTTCCTTTAAAAATAAAATTTTTGCAACATTTTTCAAAAAAACACAGCAAAAAGGGTTTGTCCACATTATATTGCTGTTAGAAAATAGTATGGGTTAAAATAAAAGTCCATCGACCATTTCTACTACTACATATAACAAACACAATCATGTCAAGGTAATACTTGTATATTCCTACATGCTTGTCGTCGGAAATTACAATTTTATTTCCGTTTTGTTTGTACTTGGGCGTCAAGAAGAAAATAACAATCAAAATATACATGGTTAGAGGGTGATTAATGGTATTTTCCATATATGACGAGAAGGTACACTCACTTTTAAATAGTTTAGGTTTTAGTTGCTTTTTCTCCCTACTTTTATATTTTTTTACTTTTTTTTCCAAACGTACCAAGAGGAGCGTGAGTGCATTTAACATTCGTGTGCGATTCTTTATTTGTTTGTTTAAAGCGTATTGTCAATATTTATCAAAAGATAAAATAACAACAAACTACTGAAAGCAAAAAAAAAAAACAAACAAAAGACAAATGGCAGTATCAATTCTTATATACAATTCAGACAGCGAACAGTGGTTTGTAGAGGTCGGAAATGTGCTCAAAATTTAAATAGATTTCAAAAATTACTTAGACTTAAGAATCTTAAAGAAAGTGATAGGAAAAAAACTAGACTAGAACTGAATTACTTAGAATATAAATAGAACTGAACTAGAACAGAATAAGAACAGAACTAGAACAGAATTAGAACAGAACTAGAACAGAACTACAACAGAACTAGAACAGAACTAGAACAGAACTAGAACAGAACTAGAACAGAACTAGAACAGAACTAGAACAGAACTAGAACAGAACTAGAACAGAACTAGAACAGAACTAGAACAGAACTAGAACAGAACTAGAACAGAACTAGAACAGAACTAGAACAAAACTAGAACTGAACTAGATCAGAACTAGAACAGAACTAGAACAGAACTAGAACAGAACTAGAACAGAACTAGAACAGAACTAGAACTGAACTAGAACTGAACTAGAACTGAACTAGAACTGAACTGGAACTGAACTAGAACTGAACTAGAACTGAACTAGAACTGAACTAGAACTGAACTAGAACTGAACTAGAACTGAACTAGAACAGAACTAGAACAGAACTAGAACAGAACTAAAACAGAACTAGAACAGAACTAGAACAGAACTAGAACAGAACTAGAACAGAACTAGAACAGAACTAGAACAGAACTAGAACAGAACTAGAACAGAACTAGAACAGAACTAGAACAGAACTAGAACAGAACTAGAACAGAACTAGAACAGAACTAGAACAGAACTAGAACAGAACTAGAACAGAACTAGAACAGAACTAGAACAGAACTAGAACAGAACTAGAACAGAACTAGAACAGAACTAGAACAGAACTAGAACAGAACTAGAACAGAACTAGAACAGAACTAGAACAGAACTAGAACAGAACTAGAACAGAACTAGAACAGAACTAGAACAGAACTAGAACAGAACTAGAACAGAACTAGAACAGAACTAGAACAGAACTAGAACAGAACTAGAACAGAACTGGAACAGAACTAGAACAGAACTAGAACTGAACTAGAACAGAGCTAGAACAGAACTAGAACAGAACTAGAACAGAACTAGAACAGAACTAGAACAGAACTAGAACAGAACTAGAACTGAACTAGAACTGAACTAGAACTGAACTAGAACTGAACTAGAACTGAACTAGAACTAAACTAAACTAGAACTGAACTAGAACTGAACTAGAACTGAACTAGAACTGAACTAGAACTGAACTGGAACTGAACTAGAACTAGAACTAGAACTGAACTTGAACTGAACTAGAACTGAACTAGAACTGAACTAGAACTGAACTAGAACTGAACTAGAACTGAACTAGAACAGAACTAGAACAGAACTAGAACAGAACTAGAACAGAACTAGAACAGAACTAGAACAGAACTAGAACAGAACTAGAACAGAACTAGAACAGAACTAGAACAGAACTAGAACAGAACTAGAACAGAACTAGAACAGAACTAGAACAGAACTAGAACAGAACTAGAACAGAACTAGAACAGAACTAGAACAGAACTAGAACAGAACTAGAACAGAACTAGAACAGACTAGAACAGAACTAGAACAGAACTAGAACAGAACTAGAACAGAACTAGAACAGAACTAGAACAGAACTAGAACAGAACTAGAACAGAACTAGAACAGAACTAGAACAGAACTAGAACAGAACTAGAACAGAACTAGAACAGAACTAGAACAGAACTAGAACAGAACTAGAACAGAACTAGAACAGAACTAGAACTGAACTAGAACAGAACTAGAACTAGAACTAGAACAGAACTAGAACAGAACTAGAACTAACTAGAACAGAACTAGAACTGAACTAGAACTGAACTAGAACTGAACTAGAACTGAACTAGAACTGAACTAGAACTGAACTAGAACTGAACTAGAACTGAACTAAACTGAACTAGAACTGAACTAGAACTGAACTAGAACTGAACTAGAACTGAACTAGAACTGAACTAGAACTGAACTAGAACTGAACTAGAACTGAACTAGAACTGAACTAGAACTGAACTAGAACTGAACTAGAACTGAACTAGAACTGAACTAGAACTGAACTAGAACTGAACTAGAACTGAACTAGAACTGAACTAGAACTGAACTAGAACTGAACTAGAACTGAACTAGAACTGAACTAGAACTGAACTAGAACTGAACTAGAACTTAACTAGAACTTAACTAGAACTTAACTAGAACTGAACTAGAACTGAACTAGAACTGAACTAGAACTGAACTAGAACTTAACTAGAACTTAACTAGAACTTAACTAGAACTTAACTAGAACTGAACTAGAACAGATCTGGAACCAAAGTAAAACCTAAGTAAAACTTAAGTACCACTGAACTAGAACTATACCGGAACTAAACTGGAACTGTCTTTTGAAAAACAAAATATAGTAGTTTTAAGGATGGAGAAATGGAAAAGTCAGTCGTAGAACTGAAAAATATAAAACCATTATTCCAAAAGCTTATCCACTATTATTCGTTTTTCATTTTATCCACAAAATCCTTGAAGTCTGTTGTATGGCTGCCACTCAAAAATAATTTATAAAGACAGACATCGACATATTTGTATAAATAACTAAAAGACAGCTTTAAATATATAACATATTATGTATACATTATGTTATAAATATAGAGAACATAAGAAATGTAAGAAATAACTTAAACTAAATTTAAACCTTAGCATGTATTAAGGAACCAAACTTGAACTATGACCTAAATTAACATTTGATATAAGATTTACTAAAAATAAACAAAAATCGTTTAACATGTTGTAGGTGTTTTTTTTTTATAAATTTTCAAATAAAATTAATAATAAAACTAAATAAAAGTTATTTTATAAAGAAAAAAATAATTTGAAAGAAAAACTTACATCTGTCATCTTCATCCAGGAAAATATAACTTATTAAAATGGCTCCCAAAATACCAAAGAACTAAAAAATAAAGAACAAAATTTTAATATAAATCGTTTGTAAAGAACTTTTAGATTTTACCGCTAAAACACATTGTACTCCCGACTGAACAACCTCCACTATATCGTAAGTAAGTAGACAATCATCTACAGTTTCAGGACGTATAGGACGATAGGGATCCTCTGAGGTTATATTTGTATTATAGATGGGCTTACAGCCGTAACCATTCACTTCAAACCAAGAGACACTACCAGTACCTAGATTTAGTAAATCGCTGTCCTAAAGGAAAACCAAAACAGAATAATAGTCAAATATTTAATTTTCTTTTTCTTTATAACGATTGAATGACTTACTCTATCCAATGTCCCCACATTTAAGTAGAAACATATTAAAAATGAATTCCAACCAATCCATAGGAAATTCCATATTAAATACTGTAAATAAAAAAAATAATAATAATAAAGCTATAATAAAGATGTTATTCATACATTTTATACATAAACAATCTGAACAATTGATTGAATGATTAATTGATTACTGTTGTATTTTGGGAAGGGGGAGAGAAAAAACTTCAATATCATTAATATTCATAAACACTTGAGATAATCAAAATGCAAAACTTTTATGAAATAAATATTTTTGAACGGAACAAATGTTTTATTAAATTTATGAATAAACTCGTATATTATATATGATATAGACCAATCGATAAGATAAGATACCACCAACTACAGTCAATTATCTACATGTGTGATGTTGCTTTGAGAGGGCTGTGTTTAGGGACCCTTTACCCACTCGCCTTATCTTCTTTTGCTGTAAGTTTTATAAGTTTTTAGGTCAATATTTAACCTCCTCTTCTTTTCATTGTTTATATACGGTTTTTTTTTCTCGATTATATGTATTAACTTTATTTGATTTGAAATCAATAAATAGAAATATATTTAAATGTTAAACAGTCGCTATGTGGTGACAGACAGCTGTAACTGACATGTGCCCACAAAGCAATAAAGTATTATTTTTATGATTTTTTGTCTGGGAGGGCACAAACTCCAAACATATTAAGTCATAAAATTAACGTGACGCACAAAATTAGGGTCCTGAATTATACGAATGTTATCACTGAACTAGAACTGAACTAGAACCGAACTAGAACTGAACTAGAACTGAACTAGAGCTGAACTAGAACTGAACTAGAACTGAAATTGAACTGAACTAGAACTGAACTAGAATTGAACTAGAACTGAACTAGAACTGAACTAGAACTGAACTAGAACTGAACTAGAACTGAACTAGAACTGAACTAGAACTGAACTAGAACTGAACTAGAACTGAACTAGAACTGAACTAGAACTGAACTAGAACTGAACTAGAACTGAACTAGAACTGAACTAGAACTGAACTAGAACTGAACTAGAACTGAACTAGAACTGAACTAGAACTGAACTAGAACTGAACTAGAACTGAACTAGAACTGAACTAGAACTGAACTAAGAACTGAAAGAACTGAACTAGAACTGAACTAGAACTGAACTAGAACTGAACTAGAACTGAACTAGAACTGAACTAGAATTGAACTAGAACTGAACTAGAACTGAACTAGAACTGACGAGAACTAGAACTAGAACTGACTAGAACTGAACTAGAACTGAACTAGAACTGAACTAGAACTGAACTAGAACTGAACTAGAACTGAACTAGAACTGAACTAGAACTGAACTAGAAACTGAACTAGAACTGAACTAGAACTGAACTAGAACTGAACTAGAACTGAACTAGAACTGAACTCGAACTAGAACTGAACTAGAACTGAACTAGAACTGAACTAGAAGAACTGAACTAGAACTAACTGAACTTAGAACTGAACTAGAACTGAACTAGACTGAACTAGAACTAGAACTGAACTAGAACTGAACTAGAACTGAACTAGAACTGAACTAGAACTGAAACTAGAACTGAACTAGAACTGAAACCTAGAACTGAACTAGAACTGAACTAGAACTGAACTAGAACTGAACTAGAACTGAACTAGAACTGAACTAGAACTGAACTAGAACTGAACTAGAACTGAACTAGAAAAACTGAACTGAACTAGAACTGAACTAGAACTGAACTAGAACTGAACTAGAACTGAACTAGAACTGAACTAGAACTGAACTAGAACTGAACTAGAACTGAACTAGAACTGAACTAGAACTGAACTAGAACTGAACTAGAACTGAACTAGAACTGAACTAGAACTGAACTAGAACTGAACTAGAACTGAACTAGAACTGAACTAGAACTGAACTAGAACTGAACTAGAACTGAACTAGAACTGAACTAGAACTGAACTAGAACTGAACTAGAACTGAACTAGAACTGAACTAGAACTGAACTAGAACTGAACTAGAACTGAACTAGAACTGAACTAGAACTTAACTAGAACTGAACTAGAACTGAACTAGAACTGAACTAGAACTGAACTAGAACTGAACTAGAACTAGAACTGAACTTGAACTTGAACTAGAACTAGAACTGAACTAGAACTGAACTAGAACTGAACTAGAACTGAACTAGAACTGAACTAGAACTGAACTAGAACTGAACTAGAACTGAACTAGAACTGAACTAGAACTGAACTAGAACTGAACTAGAACTGAACTAGAACTGAACTAGAACTGAACTAGAACTGAACTAGAACTGAACTAGAACTGAACTAGAACTGAACTAGAACTGAACTAGAACTGAACTAGAACTGAACTAGAACTGAACTAGAACTGAACTAGAACTGAACTAGAACTGAACTAGAACTGAACTAGAACTGAACTAGAACTGAACTAGAACTGAACTAGAACTGAACTAGAACTGAACTAGAACTGAACTGAACTAGAACTGAACTAGAACTGAACTAGAACTGAACTAGAACTGAACTAGAACTGAACTAGAACTGAACTAGAACTGAACTAGAACTGAACTAGAACTGAACTAGAACTGAACTAGAACTGAACTAGAACTGAACTAGAACTGAACTAGAACTGAACTAGAACTGAACTAGAACTGAACTAGAAATGAACTGAACTGAACTGGAACTGAACTGAACTGAACTAACTGAACTAGAACTGAACTAGAACTGAACTAGAACTGAACTAGAACTGAACTAGAACTGAACTAGAACTGAACTAGAACTGAACTAGAACTGAACTAGAACTGAACTAGAACTGAACTAGAACTGAACTAGAACTGAACTAGAACTGAACTAGAACTGAACTAGAACTGAACTAGAACTGAACTAGAACTGAACTAGAACTGAACTAGAACTGAACTAGAACTGAACTAGAACTGAACTAGAACTGATAAACTGAACTAGAACTGAACTAGAACTGAACTAGAACTGAACTAGAACTGAACTAGAACTGAACTAGAACTGAACTAGAACTGAACTAGAACTGAACTAGAACTGAACTAGAACTGAACTAGAACTGAACTAGAACTGAACTAGAACTGAACTAGAACTGAACTAGAACTGAACTAGAACTGAACTAGAACTGAACTAGAACTGAACTGGAACTGAACTAGAACTGAACTAGAACTGAACTAGAACTGAACTAGAACTGAACTAGAACTGAACTAGAACTGAACTAGAACTTAACTAGAACTGAACTAGGACTGAACTAGAACTGAACTAGAACTGAACTAGAAATGAACTAGAACTGAACTAGAACTGAACTAGAACTGAACTAGACTACTTAACTAATGAACTAGAACTGAACTAGAACTGAACTAGAACTGAACTAGAACTGAACTAGAACTGAACTAGAACTGAACTAGAACTGAACTAGAACTGAACTAGAACTGAAGTAGAACTGAACTAGAACTGAACTAGAACTGAACTAGAACTTAACTAGAACTTAACTAGAACTTAACTAGAACTGAACTATAACTGAACTAGAACTGAACTAGAACTTAACTAGAGCTTAACTAGAACTTAACTAGAACTTAACTAGAACTTAACTAGAACTTAACTAAACTTAACTAAAACTGAACTAGAGTTGAATTAGAACTAAACTGAAAATAAGTAGCACTAAACTAGAGCTGTACTAGAACCCTAGTCTAGACTATAGATTAGATTATGCTCTTCATCCTGCTATATTTTAATCATTAAAAGTATAGAAATTTAATTAAAGTCGATTTATTAATGTTTTTCATTCATCTTTTATGAATAAAGTTTATAATTAACTTGGTTTTTTTCCGAAAGTTTTTTTATGAATAAAGTTGATAATTTACTTATTTATACTTTTTAATTAGAAATTGGTGTACAGGGTGTTCTCGCTTCGACGAATTGTATAGTTTTATTTAAAAATGTTTCACTACGTTCAGATCTTACAAGATTTCTAGTTCTTTAATCATTTCTATAATCTGAACACGGAAAATTACGATAAATTTTATTTGTACTTCTGCCACTAATTGTTGTTTATTTTTCTAACTTGTCTTAAGCAATAAATCTCAAATAAATTCTAACTTTACTAGCATAACTTTTCCCCGACAAAAACTTTTATTTACTTATTATTTTTTGGTTGTACAAATACAAAATTTTTTGAGATAAGTAAGCAAACTATTACACAGAAAAAAAGTGTTAAAGTTAATAGAACAATAATACTTACTGTTATTATATTTTATTCTAAAATGATATGCTCCATAAAATCCAAATATTATAAATAAAATGTGAAAAAAATTAACAAATATTGGCGCCCACATGTATCCAAGAAAATCGAATACTTGGCGTTCGATTATAGTTATCTGGAAATAGAAGAAAGAAAACACAACAAATCATTATAGGAAAATATAAACAAATTTGAAAACAATAGAAGAGGAGTAATAAAACAATATTTTTACAAAGGAAATGAAAAAGTTTATTTATTTTTAAGGTTATATTATTTAAAAATACATAACTAAACAAGTTTCTTTCACTTTTTTTGTTGTAGTTAAAGAAAACTAATGGAAAACTTATTTGCAAAAGAATTTTGCCCCTTACCATGATTAATTTTAGCTTTTTTTTTTAATTTAGCTTTTTACCCTCCTCATACCTAAGTAGAACTTTAACCATTCAACATTTTGCATACAATTTTCACTTTCAATTGAATTATCAATAGAATTGGAATAATGTTTTTTTTTTATTTAATTTTCTGCAAATAAGGTCTATTCAAACTTCGATAATTTAAAACTGAAAACAGAGAAAACAAACACCTTTTGTCAAAAACAAACGAATGAAACCAAAACTAAACCAAATCGAAGTGAACCAAAAGTTTTTTCTAATGTAATTTACGCCAAAAGTGCAGTCAAGCATTCAACTCAATTTTGCGAACAAACAAACAGTCACAGTCATACAAACCCTCACACACACACATTTTTGCATTGAAATATACCAGGAAACGGAATTTTCAAAGGTTTCTCAAAC